GCCTGTGGCTGGCCACCGGCAGCCTGGTGGACGCGACTCGTGAGCCGCTGCTGGCGCCGCTGCTGCGGGCGCTGCCGGTGGCCCTCCACGGCGGGCTACCGGCGGTCCAGCCGGACCTGGTGGGTGACAGCAGGCCGCCTCGGGACTGGTTAGAGGTCATGCGGCCGCTTTGGGAACCTCGAAACCACTCATCTGTCTGTGCGCCGCCCTTCCATCGGCGGCTGGCTCATGCATCAAACCGCTCGTCCACTTTTGAACGCCCTGGAGATACCCGCCTGATCATATCACTCGTTTGACCAACCACCCAATCTGCCCCGGCCCGGCCACCCTACCATCGCCCTGCCCCTGCCGCAGGAATGGGTGCCTGGAAGCAGCATATACGTGCTCGGCGCATACGCCGCCCTCCAGCTGGGCCCTGGCGCGCTGAATCTGGCAGGAGCCAAGACCGCCTCCGCCCTCGTCGTCGGCGCGCTCGCCGCCGGCGGCGGCAGCAGCAGCGGCAGCGGCAGCGGCAGCGGCGGCGGCAGCGGCGGCGCGTGCGGGCGGGTCGAGGGCGGCTGGCTGTCTGACCTGCGGGCGCTGCAAGGCCGGTTCCTCCTGCCCTGCGGCGGCGCGCGGGCGGCGACTTGACTTGCACCGCAAGCGCCCTGGGCTCAGACGGGCCTCGCGCATGCACACTCCACGCAAATGACAGTCGATACATACGACGACTTGCTTGGCGCGCTGCGCCGCTCCCCCGTTGCCTGTCCCCTCCGCACTTTGCGGCCTCCCTACTATACTTGCTGCGCTGCACCTGGGCAGAAGCCAAGGCAGGCGTGTGTGGTTACATGTCACCCAGAAAGGCACCGCAGCTCGTAGGTCTCAAAAGGATAATCCTATCATGCGGATGAAATTGTATTTGTTTGAAGACAGGCGCGCACACGTGGAAGCCACGCCTGGCAATGAGTATGTTGGTGTGCACCACTAGCTCGCACACAATCCAGTCCATGCAGTCCGCGCAAAGATCTGCTGCTGCAGCTCCACAGTACGTTTGCCACGATTCTCAGTCCCGTTTTGTACGTATTAGCTTGCGCACAGTCCAGCGTTTCTGCAACCGACCAAGCAACGCGCTGCGGCAGAGTGCCGTGGTGTAATCTTGTTCACCAAGTGACACAATGTTGCTTGAAAACACAAAGATCCTGAACGTGCGGAGGAGAGAAGAGGGGGTCCCATCCACGCCGCGCCACGTGGTTGTTGTCACACACATGTCGATGCGTGCATGCGCGAGTGGAAACCTCCCCTGGCCAGTTTCAAGGCCACCAAAGCTCGGGCCTGGGACCCATGAAAGCGCAGATGTACGCGCGTGTGCATGTGCATCTGTGTGCGCTCCTCTGACAGTACCTGCTGCTGATGTAACCAAACAAGTCGCAAAGTTGCAAGTGTGCGCCGATCCGCCGCCGACCGCAGGGGGTGGCGCCAGATGCTGGCCGCCGCCATTGAAGAACGCAGGAAGGCGTGGCTAGGCGGCCACGTGGCACATGGGTGATGACTTTGCATGAAGAGCAGCGCGCCTCACACGACAGAATGCTGGTGTAGACATTCCCGCGAGGCCCCGCGGCCGGCCGCCGCAGCGGCTGCAGCACCCCGCGCCTGGCTCCTCGGCGCGGGAACGCCGCAGGGGCCACGGGCGACGCGAGAGGGGACGGCCCGCCTGCGTGCTCAGCGCGTGCGAGGTTACGCCGCGCTGATCGTCACACGAGGTTAAGGCGCCCGTTCGCGTCCAGCTGGTCCGCCAGCGCCTGGGGCAGCGGCGTCATCGCCTCGTCGATGCTGAGGTCGATTAGGCTCGTCAGGTTGGCCCAGGTGGCGGGGACTTTGCCCGAAAACCGGTTTTGCTGGAGGTCGAGAACAGTCAGCGACGGCCAGGCGTTGCCGAGTTCCGGGGGCAGCGTGCCCGTGAGGTGGTTGTACCTGCAACCGTGGGGCGGGGGGCGCGGGGCGCCGGGCAGGCGGTGTTGCGTGGAGGGGTGGGGCAAGGGGCATGGCGCCGGCCGGGCGGCGTTGCGTGGCAGGGCGGGTTGGGAGTGCGGCGGGAGGCACAAGGCTGACAAGGATGGGGGCGGCGGCCAGAGGGCTGTGCGGGTCAGGCCGTTGCGCCGCGCGCTGCTGCTGCTGCTGCTGCTGCTGCTGCTGCTGCTGCTGCTGCTGCTGCTGCTGCTGCTGCTGCTGCTGCTGCTGCTGAACAAGCACAGCAGCCGGCGGCACAGAGGGGTCGGCCAGAGCCCTGAGGCCGTGCGGGGCCCGGCCAGCTGCGGCAGGCCCTGATTCACAATGCGGCCAGCCATCCGCCAAAGTGCAAGCCATCCGATCCCCAAAAAACTGCCCCCACAAGCGCCCCGTCGTCCCGCTCTGTGTGTGCAGTGGAGGCCGACTGCCACACACTCCACGTACCCGAGGCTGAGCGACTGCAGGCTGCGCATGATGGCCCAGCTTTTTGGTAGCGTCCCTGTTATGTTGTTGCCATACAGGTCAAGATGCTCCATCAGGGGCCACGCGTCGCCCTCCGGAAGTCGCCCGGTCAGCTGCGTGAATCGGCCCCTGAGGTGGGGCCAAGGGGGTGGGGGGCCAGTATCAGGGGGAGAGGCCACACCCAGCGGCGGGGCCGCGCGTGCAGCGGGCGGCAAGGCCGCCCATCGGCGGTGCGCGGCCGGTGATGCCGAGACCCCGCCGTGCCCCCAAGCACGGCCACTGCTGCGCCGCGCGCTGTGCCAGCGAGCCGGTCCTCTAGTCCCCAACAGAAGAAAAAACAGCCCACTGCCCCACTGCCCCACTGCCC